TGTAGGTTGATAAAGATAGGTGTAGGGACGGTACAGAGGGGTGTAGGGACGGTACAGAGAGGTGTAGGGTGGTACAGAGGGGTGTAGGGTGATACAGAGGTGTGTAGGGACGGTTCAGGTGGTGTATGGACGGTACAGAGGGGTGTATGGACGGTACAGAGGGGTGTAGGGTGATACAGAGGGGTGTAGGGACGGTACAGAGGGGTGTAGGGATGGTACAAAGGGGTGTAGGGACGGTACAGATGGGTGTAGAGACGGTACAAAGGGGTGTAGGGACGGTACACAGGGCTGTTGGGACGGTACACGGGTGTAGTGTGGTACACAGGGGTGTAGGGTGGTACAGAGGGGTGTAGGGTGGTACAGAGGCGTGTAGGGTGGTACAGAGGGGTGTAGTGTGGTACAGAGGGGTGTAGGGACGGTACACAGGGCTGTAGGGACGGTACACAGGGCTGTTGGGACGGTACACAGGGCTGTAGGGACGGTACACAGGGGTGTAGTGTGGTACAGAGGGGTGTAGGGTGGTACAGAGGGGTGTATGGACGGTACAGAGGGGTGTAGTGTGGTACAGAGGGGTGTACGGTGGTACAGAGGGGTGTACGGTGGTACAGAGGGGTGTAGGGTGGTACAGAGGGGTGTACGGTGGTACAAAGAAGTGTAGTGTGGTACAGAGGGGTGTAGGGACGGTACAGAGGGGTGTAGGGACGGTACAGAGGGGTGTAGGGACGGTACAGAGTGGTGTAGGGTGGTACAGAGGGGTGTAGGGACGGTACAGAGGGGTGTAGGGTGGTACAGAGGGGTGTAGGGTGGTACAGAGGGGTGTAGGGTGGTAAAGATTGGTGTAGTGACGGTACAGAGGGGTGTAGGGTGGTACAGAGGGGTGTAGGGTGGTACAGAGGGGTGTAGGGTGGTACAGAGGGGTGTAGGGTGGTACTGAAGGGTGTAGGGATGGTACAGAGGGGTGTAGGGACGGTACAGAGGGGTGTAGGGTGGTACAGAGGGGTGTAGGGTGGTACAGAGGGGTGCAGGGTGGTACAGAGGGGTGTAGGGTGGTACAGAGGGGTCTAGGGACGGTACAGAGTGGTGTAGGGACGGTACAGAGGGGTGTAGGGTGGTACAGAGGGGTGTAGGGTGGTACAGAGGGGTGTAGGGTGGTACAGAGGGGTGTAGGGTGGTACTGAGGGGTGTAGGGATGGTACAGAGGGTGTAGAGTGGTACAGAGGGGGTAGGGGTGTAGGGTGGTAGAGAGGGTGTAGGGTGGTACAGAGGGTGGTACAGAAGGATGTAGGGTGGTACAGAGGGGTGTAGGGTGATACAGAAGGGGTGTAGGGTGGTACAGGGTGGTACAGAGGGGTGTAGGGTGGTGTAGGGTGGTACAGAGGGGTGTAGGGTGGTACAGGGGTGTTGGTACAGAGGGGTGTAGGGTGGTACAGAGTGGGGTGTAGGGTGGTACAGAGGGGTGTAGGTTGGTAGAGGGGTGTAGGGTGATACAGAGGGGTGTAGGGTGGTACAGAGGGGTGGGGTGGTACAGAGGGTGACGGTACAGAGAGTACAGGGTGTAGTACAGAGGGGTGTAGGGTGGTACAGAGGGGTGTAGGGTGGTACAGAGGGGTGTAGGGTATACAGAGGGGTGTAGGGTGGTACAGAGGGGTGTAGGGGTGGTACAGAGGGGTGTAGAGACGGTACAGAGAGGGGGTAGGGTGGTACAGAGGGGGTAGGGTGGTACAGAGGGGTGTAGGGTGGTACAGAGGGGTGTAGGGGGTGGTACAGAGGGGTGTAGGGTGGTACAGAGGGGTGGTACAGAGTGTGGTACAGAGGGGGGTGTAGGGACGGTACAGAGGGGTGTAGGGACGGTACAGAGTGGTGTAGGGTGGTACAGAGGGTGTGTAGGGTGGTACAGAGGGGTGTAGTGTGGTACAGAGGGGTGTAGGGGCGGTGCAAAGGGGTGTAGGGACGGTACAGAGGGGTGGGGTGTAGGGACGGTACAGAGGGGTGTAGAGTGGTACAGAGGGCTGTAGGAACGGTACAGAGGGCTGTAGGGACGGTACAGAGGGGTGTAGGGCCGGTACTGAGGGATATAGGGACGGTACAGAGCGGTGTAGGGTGGTACAGATGGGTGTAGGGACAGTACAGAGGGGTTTAGGGATGGTACAGAGGAGTGTAGGGTGGTACAGAGGAGTATAAAGTGGTACAGAGGGGTTTAAGGACGGTACAGAGAGGTGTAGGGTGGTACAGAGCGGTGTAGGGTGGTACTGAGGGGTGTAGGGTGGTACTGAAGGGTGTAGGGATGGTACAGAGGGGTGTAGGGACGGTACAGAGGGGTGTAGGGTGGTACAGAGGGGTGTAGGGTGGTACAGAGGGGTGCAGGGTGGTACAGAGGGGTGTAGGGTGGTACAGAGGGGTCTAGGGACGGTACAGAGTGGTGTAGGGACGGTACAGAGGGGTGTAGGGTGGTACAGAGGGGTGTAGGGTGGTACAGAGGGGTGTAGGGTGGTACAGAGGGGTGTAGGGTGGTACTGAGGGGTGTAGGGATGGTACACAGGGGTGTAGAGTGGTATAGAGGGGTGTAGGGTGGTACAGAAGGATGTAGGGTGGTACAGAGGGGTGTAGGGTGATACAGAAGGGTGTAGGGTGGTACAGAGGGGTGTAGGGTGGTACAGAGGGGTGTAGGGTGATACAGAGGGGTGTAGGGTGTTACAGAGGGGTGTAGGGTGGTACAGAGGGGTGTAGAGACGGTACAGAGGGGTGTAGGGTGGTACAGAGTGGTATAGGGTGGTGCAAAGGGATGTAGGGGCGGTACAGAGGGGTGTAGGGTGGTACAGAGGGGTGTAGGGTGGTACAGAGGGGTGTAAGGTGGTACAGAGGGGTGTAGTGTGGTACAGAGGGGTGTAGGGACGGTACAGAGGGGTGTAGGGACGGTACAGAGTGGTGTAGGGTGGTACAGAGGGGTGTAGGGTGGTACAGAGGGGTGTAGTGTGGTACAGAGGGGTGTAGGGGCGGTACAAAGGGGTGTAGGGACGGTACAGAATGGTGTAGGGACGGTACAGAGGGGTGGGGTGTAGGGACGGTACAGAGGGGTGTAGAGTGGTACAGAGGGCTGTAGGAACGGTACAGAGGGCTGTAGGGACGGTACAGAGGGGTGTAGGGCCGGTACTGAGGGATATAGGGACGGTACAGAGGGGTGTAGGGTGGTACAGATGGGTGTAGGGACAGTACAGAGGGGTTTAGGGATGGTACAGAGGAGTGTAGGGTGGTACAGAGGAGTATAAAGTGGTACAGAGGGGTTTATGGACGGTACAGAGAGGTGTAGGGTGGTACAGAGCGGTGTAGGGTGGTACTGAGGGGTGTAGGGTGGTACATAGAGGTGTAGGGTGGTACAGAGGGTTGTACGGTGGTACAGAGGGGTGTAGGGTGGTACAGAGTGGTGTACGGTGGTACAGAGAGGTGTACGGTGGTACAGAGGGTTGTACGGTGGTACAGAGGGGTGTAGGGTGGTACAGAGGGGTGTAGGGTGGTACAGAGGGGTGTTGGGTGGTACAGAGGGCTGTAGGGTGGTACAGAGGGCTGTAGGGTGGTACAGAGGGCTGTAGGGTGGTACAGAGGGCTGTAGGGTGGTACAGAGGGCTGTAGGGTGGTACAGAGGGGTGTAGGGTGGTACAGAGGGGTGTAGGGTGGTACAGAGGGGTGTAGGGTGGTACAGAGGGATGTAGGGTGGTACAGAGGGGTGTAGGGACGGTACAGAGGGGTGTAGGGTGGTACAGAGGGGTGTAGGGACGGTACAGAGGGGTGTAGGGTGGTACAGAGGGGTGTAGGGTGTACAGAGGGGTGTAGGGTGGTACAGAGGGGTGTAGGGACGGTACAGAGGGGTGTAGGGTGGTACAGAGGGGTGTAGGGACGGTACAGAGGGATGTTGGGTGGTACAGAGGGGTGTAGGGTGGTCCAGAGGGGTGTAGGGTGGTACAGAGGGGTGTAGAGACGGTACAGAGGGATGTAGGGTGGTACAGAGGGGTGTAGGGTGGTACAGAGGGGTGTAGGGTCGTACAGAGGGATGTAGGGTGGTACAGAGGGGTGTAGGGTGGTACAGAGGGGTGTAGGGTGGTACAGAGGGGTGTAGGGTGGTACTGAGGGGTGTAGGGACGGTACAGAGGGGTGTAGGGTGGTACAGAGGGGTGTAGGGACGGTACAGAGGGGTGTAGGGTGGTACAGAGGGGTGTAGGGACGGTACAGAGAGGTGTAGGGTGGTACAGAGGGGTGTAGGGACGGTACAGAGGGGTGTAGGGTGGTACAGAGGGGTGTAGGGACGGTACAGAGGGGTGTAGGGTGTACAGAGGGGTGTAGGGTGGTACAGAGGGGTGTAGGGTGGTACAGAGGGGTGTAGGGACGGTACAGAGGGGTGTAGGGACGGTACAGATGGGTGTAGGGTGGTACAGAGGGGTGTAGGGTGGTACAGTGGGGTGTAGGGTGGTACAGAGGGGTGTAGGGTGGTACAGAGGGATGTAGGGTGGTACAGAGGGGTGTAGGGACGGTACAGAGGGGTGTAGGGTAGTACAGAGGGGTGTAGGGACGGTACAGAGGGGTGTAGGGTGTAGGGTGGTACAGAGGGGTGTAGGGTGGTACAGAGGGGTAGGGTGGTAGGGGTGTAGGGACGGGGTACAGAGGGGTGTAGGGACGGTACAGAGGGGTGTAGGGACGGTAGTACAGAGGGGTGGTAGGGTTACAGAGGGGTGTAGGGTGGTACAGAGGGGTGTAGGGGTAGGGGTGTAGGGACGGTACAGAGGGGTGTAGGGTGGTACAGAGGGGTGTAGGGTGGTACAGAGGGGTGTAGGGTGGTACAGAGGGGTGTAGGGTGGTACAGAGGGGTGTAGGGACGGTACAGAGGGGTGTAGGGACGGTACAGAGGGGTGTAGGGTAGTACAGAGGGGTGTAGGGACGGTACAGAGGGGTGTAGGGACGGTACAGAGGGGTGTAGGGTAGTACAGAGGGGTGTAGGGTGTATGGTTCACCTGGTTCCTCTGGTGTGAGGGTGTCGGGCGTGGTGCCCTCGGGCGCCGCGCTGCGTCGAAGCCTCATCCTGGCAGCCGAGCCTGAAACATCACCATATTGTCACTGTCAACCCATTGTCACCATCACCATCACTATCTACATGCCGCTGCACCGCCATCACAGTCACCAGACTCGATCATCATCAACATTACTCTCTCATCATCACCCGCGTCATTCTCAATATAGTTTCTCACCATCATCACCACTTTCAACATTCTTCATCATCATTATCATCACCATCAACATACGCTTGCATTATTATCACAATCACTATGCTCTATCATCATCACTATACTCAGTCACCATCACTATCAACATGCTCTATCATCATCACTATACTCAGTCACCATCACTATCAACATGCTCTATCATCATCACTATACTCAGTCACCATCACTGTCAACATGCTCTATCATCATCACTATACTCAGTCACCATCACTATCAACATGCTCTATCATCATCACTATACTCAGTCGCCATCACTATCAACATATTCCATCTTCATCATCCTCATCACATCCCTCACTATCATTAGCCTCACAACAGTGAAGTCTATGGTCAATAATTCCTATTTTCTATATGTTGGAGTTATCAGCAATAAGGATATAACACCTAAATTGTGGGCCTGACGGCTGAGTGAACAACACTCGGGATTCGTAGTTTAAAAAAATTCGGCTGATTCATTGACAGTTCAGAGGCGGGCCCCAGAGCTCAACCCCCGGAAGCACAACTAGGTGAGTACCTGCTACCTAGGAGCAAAAATTACATTCATACACGGAATTACATTATAGAAGTAGCAAGCACCATCATTATAGAAGTAGCAAGCACCATCATTATAGAAGTAGCAATCACCATCATTATAGAAGTAGCAAGCACCATCATTATAGAAGTAGCAATCACCATCATTATAGAAGTAGCAATCACCATCATTATAGAAGTAACAAGCACCATCATTATAGAAGTAGCAATCACCATCATTATAGAAGTAGCAAGCACCATCATTATAGAAGTAGCAATCACCATCATTATAGAAGTAGCAATCACCATCATTATAGAAGTAACAATCACCATCATTATAGAAGTAGCAATCACCATCATTATAGAAGTAACAATCACCATCATTGTAGAAGTAGCAATCACCATCATTATAGAAGTAACAATCACCATCATTATAGAAGTAGCAAGCACCATCATTATAGAAGTAGCAAGCACCATCATTATAGAAGTAGCAAGCACCATCATTATAGAAGTAACAAGCACCATCATTATAGAAGTAGCAAGCACCATCATTATAGAAGTAGCAATCACCATCATTATAGAAGTAACAAGCACCATCATTATAGAAGTAGCAAGCACCATCATTATAGAAGTAACAAGCACCATCATTGTAGAAGTAACAAGCACCATCATTATAGAAGTAGCTATCACCATCATTATAGAAGTAGCAAGCACCATCATTATAGAAGTAGCAAGCACCATCATTATAGAAGTAGCAAGCACCATCATTATAGAAGTAGCAAGCACCATCATTATAGAAGTAGCAAGCACCATCATTATAGAAGTAGCAAGCACCATCATTATTTTGATCACCATCACTATCACTATAATGATAGCCATCACCATCATGATAAGTGTGGTGTCAGTATCCTGGTGATATATATATATATATATATATATATATATATATATATATATATATATATATATATATATATATATATATATATATATATATATATATATATATATATATATATATATATATATATATATATATTATTAAATATGACCGAAAAAGTAAGATTAATAATTCTAACACGAATTTTCTCAATGTTTCTTATATTTTTTTTCACTGTTGATGGTAACTGAAAAATCAATTCTCCAAAATTCATTTTTATTTCTAGTCTGACGCAACACTTGAGCGTGTTTCGTAAAACTTATTACATCTTCAAAGACTTTAGTTTACACACACACAACTATAACTGAACAGAGTTTAAACATCTTCGATTTTATACCTGCATTTGGGTGAGGTGATATGTTACAACAGTTTTGGATGAGGTAAAAACAAGCTTTCAACACAAGACAGAACACGAAACAATGGGTATAATATTTTGTATGTTAAAGGGAAGAATGGAAGTAACTGCAAAGGGCCTATTGGCCCATATTTCTTGATGCTTCTATATTGGTGCGGAGTCTTGAAGTGGGTAGAATATAGTTGTGCATTAATTGGCTGTTGATTGCTGGTGTTGACTTCTTGATGTGTAGTGCCTCGCAGACGTCGAGCCGCCTGCTATCGCTGTATCTATCGATGATTTCCGTGTTTTTTTGTTAAGACTTCTCTGGTGATGGTTTGGTTGTGGGAAGAGATTATATGTTCCTTAATGGAGCCCTGTTGCTTATGCATCGTTAATCGCCTGGAAAGAGATGTTGTTGTCTTGCCTATATACTGAATTCTTTGAGGCTTACAGTCCCCAAGTGGGCATTTGAAGGCATAGACGACATTGGTCTCTTTTAAAGCGTTCTGCTTTGTGTCTGGAGAGTTTCTCATGAGTAGGTTGGGCGTTTTCTTGGTTTTATAGTAGATCGTCAATTGTATAAAAAAGTGAAAAAAAATTTAAGAAACATTGAAAAAATTCGTGTTAGAATTATTAATCTTACTTTTTCAGTCATATTTAATGATATATGTCTACAGGAAAGACTGCTACCAAAATATACTAATATATATATATATATATATATATATATATATATATATATATATATATATATATATATATATATATATATATATATATATATATATATATATATCCCCAATACTGAAGCGAGTCCAGTCACACTCTGCTAACTTTATCAAGAAGTTTCTCCATAAACTTGCCTGAAAGTGTCAATATCAGCCCCGTGACGAACCCCCATGAGATATAAAGTTTCTAGATATAGTTATAACTAGAGTATTGATTTAGTTTCAAAGTTTAAAGTTTGTACACATATACTGAACACTGTAGCGGATCTATATATCAAAGAGATAAGGTGAGCTGCCCTACCCTTCTGAAACGTCCAATTATACACTAGTCATCTCCTACTGTTATAATAATCTACAAGAACATTGTCTCGCCGACACCAAAACGGAACATCTTGAAAGAAACAAATGTGATATATGCCTTGACGTGATCACTTGGGGAAGCGGGGAGGGGGCTATAAGCTCCAGGGATCTCAGTATATAGGTAAGACAATAACTCTTCCGTGGCGTGTGACAGGGAGCGAGGCGCCATCACGGCACATGAGGTGTTTACATACACCCCACACCATCACCAGAGACATCCTCACAAACAACACTTGAAATAATCGACAGATATAACAATGGAAGATATGAGCGGCAACCATTTGCACGCCACACACACACACACACACACACACACACACACACACACACACACACACACACACACACACACACACACACACACACACACACACACACACACACATACACACACACATACACACACACACACACACACACACACACACACACACACACACACACACACACACACACACACACACACACACACACACACACACACACACACACACACACACACACACACACACACACACACACACACACACACACACACACACACACACACACACACACACACACATACACACACACACACACACACACACACACACACACACACACACACACACACACACACACACACACACACACACACACACACACACACACACACACACACACACACACACACACACACACACACACACACACACACACACACACACACACACACACACACACACACACACACACACACACACACACACACACACACACACACACACACACACACACACACACACACACACACACACACACACACACATACACACACACACACACACACACACACACACACACACACACACACACACACACACACACACACACACACACACACACACACACACACACACACACACACACACACACACACACACACACACACACACACACACACACACACACACACACACATACACACACACACACACACACACACACACACACACACACACACACACACACACACACACACACACACACACACACACACACACACACACACACACACACACACACACACACACCAGCCAGCTATAACACCCGGTAACACATCTTCGAGAACAAGGTATAAAGTCCGTCAAACTGCCCCATCAATCACTGAAACACAGGACATGTGTAGGCTGTAGAACCTACCCTATCAATTCCTTTAAGAATCTTGTATGTGGTGATTATGTCCCCCTTAACTCTTCTGTCTTCCAGCAACGTGAACATATAATAACGTGATCACGTGAACCTACTGGTTCACGTGATCACTTCCACACAGACAACGCTTAACCCCCGCAAGCACAATTAGGTGAGTACTCTATGTAATATATTCGGCTACTCCAGCCAAGTTATGTTCACTTGCTCTCAGCCTTTGAAAATGTTGAAAGCGTCAACGAAACGTAGAAACTTGTGTAAGGAATCATTGAGAACTTTGTATACCACATATGTCAGACCAATCCTGGAGTATGCAGCTCCAGCATGGAGTCCATATATCTAGTCAAGCATAAGACTAAACTGGAAAAGGTTCAAAGGTTTGCCACCAGACTAGTACCCGAGCTGAGAGTTATGAGCTACGAGGAGAGACTACGGGAATTAAACCTCACGTTGCTTGAAGACAGAAGAGTTAGGGGGGACATGATCACCACATACAAGATTCTCAAAGGAATTGATAGGGTTGATAAAGACAGACTATTTAACACGAATACATTAGGAAGTGATGTGGTGGAGGCTGACTCCATACACAGTTTCAAGTGTAGATATGATAGAGCCCAGTAGGCTCAGGAACCTGTACACCTGTTGACTGACGGTTGAGAGGCGGGACCAAAGAGCCAGAGCTCAACCCCCGCAAGCACAACTAGGTGAGTACACACACAGCAGAAGACACACACATCAGGAGACA